TAATTTAATATTAAGTTATTATTTATTTTTATCAAATCAACATCAAATTGAAATTCAATTTTATTAAATAAAAATATTTAATTTATTAAATTTCATTAATTTAAAATTTAACCTTATCAAATTAATGTCATTTCTTTAATTTAACACCAAATGAACATTTAGTTTTATTAAAACAACATTCAAATTTATTCAATTAACATTAAATTCAATCAAATTAATACTAAATTAATATTTAATTTTATCAAATTAAAACTAAATTAATATTTAAATTTATCAAAATTAAGATCAAATTTATTCAATTAATATTAAATTTTATCAAATAATTTTAAATTTTATATATAAAGTGTGATATGTGAGGAGCAGTGAGACGACGTTGTGAAGGACATGTGATAGCAGAGGAATTAGAAATTGATGAGATTTTGACATTGACTTTATCAATTGTTATTTTTATTATTGAAAAATCATTTTTAATTGTAAAAACTATAAAAACTTGATTATGTAACCAAATAAGTGATAATATGATGATTAATATTATAACAAAATTATAATACAACGTTTTAAAATAAAAAATTTAATGGAATAATATAATTATTGAAATTACGTGGTGTTTAGATGAAACTTTTCCTAAGATATAACATGTAGATATAGTATGTCTTCAATCTTTGTACAATATATATGTATAGTAAAGATGTGCGTTTGAAATGAACAGTAAAGATAGAGAGCAACTGCATTAGAATAGAATTTTGGGGAGACATGCGTCACAGTTTGGAAAGAAAATCATGAAAGATGAGAGTGTGAGGGACAGTCAATGTCTTAGTATAGAAAGTGATCCCTTAACATAGGAAATAAAATCAAGAAAATAATGATAAGAGTTGTAATTTGTATTTTAGGGAGAGAGAGAGAGACAGAGTTTGGGGGATGAGAGATCGCTTAATTGTCGGATTTGATTAGTTTGGGGAATTAAATTTAGGGATGTTAGTTTTGGAAAGTAAGAGTTTTGAGCAGCAAAAAATTTTTAAGAGCTAATATGGTACGTCGGATTGAAACGATCTGAGACGTCAATAACTTGAAACAGTTTGAAATATCGTCGGTCGTTGGATGATGCCTTTTTTGATCTCAAAATTATCTGAACCGCTCTTTGTCTCTTGAATTCAAAATCGTTCTACTTTATTATATAGATATCGAACACCAACACAATCTCCACGAAGAAAAGACAATATTATAGTTACAACAACCTCGGTGGACAAACACTTTGTCAATTAAATAGAGTGTTATAACTCTTATATAAAGTAATCCCACAAACAGCAATCGGAAAAGATTCCACTCTTTCTTTAGTTTATGGAAACACCTAACAATTATATAATTTTGATAATATTGATGTGGTGTAATTATTTAATAAAAAAAATTATAAAATGAATAAAATAGGATTTACTTTCTATCCTAGAATTAATTATGTATTGTATGATTGAGTGGTTATAGATTTTTATGGGTTCATTTACAGACTTATTTATTTATTTATAGTTGAGTCCCGTTATGATAACAAAAATATATTTTTTTTGTATCAATAAAGTTTTATATTTTATTATATTTTTTTTACTTTTTAATTTTTTGAATTTGTGTGTTATATTAGCCCTTTAATTAGAAAATTTCTAAATATTCTTATATAATTTGAAATCAAATTAAAAAACTGTTAGAAATTTCATAAAACTAACAGTCAAGTTCAAAATTTGAAGTAAAATCTCTAAAGTTTTCTCTCTAAAATTAATCACTCAATTTCTCTAACTTCATTACGAAATGAATAGAATGTTTTTTAATGTTGTACACTTTTAACAGATGTCTAAATAAATTAAATGATATACTATGTTATTTCTTTTTTATGTTGGATTGGATTGTCTTACGTTTGTTGCTTTTTAGTACAAAATAATCGTATGCAGATTTTAAAAGTATATATATATGGGGAGATAAATTAGGCAAAATTTCAGACACACCTCTCTTAGTTTACTATATTTTTAAGAATATCCTCTTTTATTATCAAAAATATCATTGACACTCCTTTTAATTTATATTTAAACATCACTGACACCCTTTACCATTAAACTATCATTTCTAACAAAACAAATTCATCTAAAATATCAAAAATGCCCCTACATAAATCTCAAGTAATTTTTTTACATAAAATTTTCTTAAAATTTGAGCAGATTAAAATTTATTTTTTTATATATCAAAATTTAAACCAATTAAAATACGATTGAAACTTAAATTTTAATTTTTTTAACGTATTAAAATTCGAACGTATTAAAATTTATTTTTTAGGTATTAAAATTTGAACTAATTTGAACTCTACTCGAATTTTTAGCACCGATTAAAATTCATTTTTGAATCTATTAAAATTTATATTTTTTTAGCTTATTAAAATTTCGATTTATTAAAACTTGTGTCAATTAAAATTTATATTTTTTTATGTATTAAAATTTGTGCTGATCAAAATTAAATGCGAGTTGATTAAAATTTGATTTGAGTTGATTAAAAATAATTTTTAATTGGCTCAAATAGAATTTTAATTAGTCCAAATTTTAATAAAAATATAATTTTTAATCAGTTCAAATTTTGATATGTAAAAAAATAAATTTTAATTAGTTTAAATCAAATTTTACTCGGTCAGAATATTAATACGTAAAAAAAATTAGAAAATAGAAGGGATCTCATTGAAGATATATTTATCTAGAGGAAGTGTAGATGGAGTTTGTCCTCATATATACCATGGATAATTTAATAAAATTGTCTTATAGTTAATATTTTTAATCAGATATGAGATGTCAATAAAGATTCAAAAAAATAGAAAAGATGTAATTGAAGAAGATATGTATCATACAATCGAACTTGGCGGCTATAATATATCATTCATCCCAAACAATAAAGAGCAAATAGCACTTTAGACCTGAAAAAATCTTCTTTTTCTTAATTTGTACTCTAAAAGATTAAAATTTTTATACTGTACCCACAATTTAACAATAATAGGGCAATTTGCTTCATTTTAAAACAATTGAGTACAATTTTATTTAAAACACTTAAAATTTTGTATTATGCAAATAATTTTGTATAGAAATAAGAAAATATGACCAATGCAATGAAAAAAACTCATCGAAAAAAGGAACAAACATACTTTTGGACTATATTACTGCCTTCTTTTTTTTTTTTTAATCTAATTTAAGGTGTAATAAGAGAACTTTAATCATTTAGCACGTACATTAAGAATTTACAATCTTTTAGGGTATAAAGTGTCATTCATCTAAAAATAAAATAATTATTATTTGTTGTCTCCACTTCCCGATATAAGAAGAACGAAGAAACAGAGCTCAAAGTCTCAAACTCAAAGCAGCCCATTAATTCACTCCCAGGGAATGCAGAAAAATGAAGAGCCATTCTCACTTGAGCCCTGAATCAAGAGCTCCGGCAAATAAGAGCAATGACCATGACCGGACCTGCCATCGGAAACATGTGGAAGTCGGCTAGATCTAATCCTAACCCACCATTCTCTCACTAAAACCTGTCATCTCCATTTTTTTCATCTCTTTTATCAGCGAAACTTTCAGATCAGTAAAGCACTGTTCTTCAAGCTCCATCAATGGCTATGGCGTACAGAAAAAAGGACATTCATGGGAAGTACGAGCTCGGCCGCCTCGTCGGCCATGGCAGCTTCGCAAAAGTCTACCATGCCAAAAACCTTCAAACGGGCGAAAGCGTGGCCATTAAAGTCGTATCGAAAGACAAGGTGATCAGAGTTGGCATGACGGAGCAAGTGAAACGAGAAATATCAGTCATGAAGAAAGTGAATCATCCAAACATCGTAAGGATATATGAAGTCATGGCCACCAAGTCCAAGATCTACATCGCCATGGAATATGCTCGCGGCGGTGAATTATTCACCAAAATCTCCAAAGGTCACTTGAGAGAAGACGTTGCTCGAAATTATTTCCGCCAACTAATCTCTGCGGTAGATTTTTGTCACAGTCGAGGAGTTTTTCACCGTGATTTGAAGCCGGAGAATCTCTTGTTAGACGAAGAGGGCAATCTGAAAGTGACAGATTTTGGATTATCAGCTTCGTCTGATGATTCTGATCAATCAAAGCAAGATAGGCTGTTTCACACAGCGTGTGGGACTCCGGCATATGTTGCGCCGGAAGTGATCGGAAATAGAGGGTATGAGGGTGCGAAGGCAGATCTATGGTCATGTGGGGTGATTCTCTTTGTTCTTCTTGCTGGGTATTTGCCATTTCAGGATGAGAACATCATGATCATGTATAGGAAGATTCACAAAGGCAAGTTCAAATGTCCGCCGTGGTTTTCGCCTGAGTCTCGCCGGATTCTAACCAGAATGCTCGACCCAAATCCCAGTACCCGAATCACAATCTCGAAGTTGGTCGAAACAGCATGGTTCAAGGAAGGGAATCCCAGAAATTCAAAGAAAATGAATGAAGAAGATGATAGCCCTCAGGTTGAAGGAAGAGAGGCGACGTCAGAATCGGAGACGTTGAATGCGTTTCATATCATTTCGTTGTCTAAAGGGTTTGATTTATCGCCATTGTTTGAGGAGAAGAGGAAGGAGAAAGAGGAGCTGAGGTTTGGAACGGCGAAGCCGGCGAGCAGTGTTATTTCACGGCTGGAGGAGGTGGCGAAGGCGGCGGAATTCATTGTGAAGAAGTGTGAGTCCAGGGTGAGGTTGGAGGGGATGGACTGTGGTAGGAAAGGCAAGTTGGCGGTTGAGGCGGAGATGTTTGAGATGGCACCGCCATTTATGGTGGTGGAAGTGAGGAAAGACGGCGGTGATACGCTTGAGTACAACCAGTTTTTCAGCAAGGAGCTCCGGCCGGCGCTACAGGATATTATATGGACTGCTGAGAACTCCATGGCTGCTTGAAAAAGCTTCATTCAGGATTTGGCTTTAGCCTTTCCTTTTGAATTAAGAATTAAACTTGCTTAATCTGATGTTAATTATTGTAGTAATCGGATTAATGGAGAAATAAATGCTCAACTAGATCAGTGGACTTTTTTTTTTTTTTTTTGGGTGTTAAAAGTTTAAGTATTAGCTTAAGGTATCAAAATATTATTTATTTTTTATTAATAAAGTTTTTTTTATTATTTTAAATAAATGATTTGAGATCTTTCAAATCAAAATTAACCGTGAGTCCGTGACGATCAATTTCTGGCACGATACTTCCATAGTACAATAGGCTTATGTTGAATGGGTTTGAAGCCATAGAGTTCGTCTAAACTGATGCAGCTTTCTTTGGCACTGAAAATGTGTAAAGGGAGAGTTTTTTTTTTTATGTAAATACTAGGGTAATCGTATCTAAAGTAACGGTATAATATAAATTAATCGATTAATTTAAAAAAAGTGAAAATTTTAGAGAGAGAGAGAGCGAAGAGTGAAGAGAGGAATATAAAATTCAATGTGAATAGTTTTGAGAGAATGTTAGTAGTCGTTAAATGAATCTATTTTTAATTATCAGATGAGTTTATTGAAATATGTCTAATTTTATATTAAAGATAGGAGATCTGATGAATAAAACAAGAAGAGAGGGACTTAACTCTCTATGGAGTGGGATGGGAGGGCTTCATATGCCTTTTGAAAGATTCTTGCTTTGCATTTTTAGTTCCCAAATCCGACACCATTGTCATTAAAAGATAAGAAATACTGAACTAAATTTTCCTATTTTCATTTTGGAAAAAGGGGAATTGAAGTGCAAAATAATTTTACCTTACAAAATTATAGGGCCTGTTTGGTTTGCGTTTCAAAAAATAGTATCCAAAAATAATTTTTAAAAATAGTTTTAAGAAAGTGATTTTTATATTTTTTGAGATAAAAAATTTGTTTGGTTAAATAATTTCAAAATTTTTTTTACAATAAATATATATAGCAATTTACATATATATAGTTATATCTGAACATTCAAAATTGTTCTCCTTGTTTCTAAAATTTTCAAAAAAAACTCTGAAAACAAGCTGCACTTGTTTTTTGTTTATTTGACTCAAATCTCATTTTTTTTCCAAAATTTAGAGAACAAAAATACTAAACAAACAGATTTTAGGTATTTTCAAAATTTTAAAAACAAAAAACAGTTTTCGAAAATTAAACCAAATATTGCCATAATTTCTTATATCCCGAATCTTCCCCTTTCCATTTTGAGAAATACGGAATTGAATTTTGAGGGAGGGAGACAGTCAGAGCTTACACGAAGTCATTTGGGCTTGACCCAGTTGTACCTAGCCCGAGTTTGGCTTTCTTGTAAATCTCATGGGCTTAGCCCAAACAACTTATGCCCTGGATCTGGGCCCATGTCACCTTTAGATAGTAGATTTCTGTCTATTCTTGTAAAAAAATATATATTCCACACAATCTATGAAGCTAGGCAGCTGATGGGCATATCATATGCCTATTTTAAAAATATTAGAGGTGTTAGTGGAGTCAACTTTGTAAAGTATGAATATGCTTAGACTAGACTTGACGTAGTTATGACGACATGTTGAATGGTACGTCGATCAAAGCTTACATATTTTTCAAGTTTAGATTGATACTAACAATCTAGTCGAGATTATATTCTTAAATAAACTGAAAAAAGGTTGCTTTCACTTTAATGTAATAGACACCAAAACAGAGAAAATTTGTGAACCATCGTAAGTGTACTATGACAGGGCCTAGCAAGCAAACAAAAAGGGTCCATCCACGTTTTTTCCACTAGAATAAACAAATTAACCCTTTGTGTGTATTAAATTTGTGCATCAAATCTTTGTATCAAATAATTTGTTAGTATCTTAATTATCATTGCTATTTATAATGAAATCTAATAGGCTCTCCCATTACAAGTCACAATTAGATTAAGGTCCACACTTAACCGTCTCAACTACATCAATTAAAATATATACATAAGCCCATAAAAATAGATCACTTAATAATATTGGGCTCATATCATTAGACCATAAATTCAATCCGTTTTTCAGAAATTAAAAATTAACTATCAATTAATGGAAGTCGAATATAGGAAAAGTTTCAATATTCTCTCACTTTGACAACATTAATTGTAGTATATATATATATAATTTTTGAAAAATGGCTCTTGAGCTAATAAAAAAAAACTCAATGTGCCCACAATAAAAAATAATATGGTCCTGAGACAATATCTTAAACACAACTCGGTCCAATAAAATTACTATTTTCGAACNAATATGCTTAGACTAGACTTGACGTAGTTATGACGACATGTTGAATGGTACGTCGATCAAAGCTTACATATTTTTCAAGTTTAGATTGATACTAACAATCTAGTCGAGATTATATTCTTAAATAAACTGAAAAAAGGTTGCTTTCACTTTAATGTAATAGACACCAAAACAGAGAAAATTTGTGAACCATCGTAAGTGTACTATGACAGGGCCTAGCAAGCAAACAAAAAGGGTCCATCCACGTTTTTTCCACTAGAATAAACAAATTAACCCTTTGTGTGTATTAAATTTGTGCATCAAATCTTTGTATCAAATAATTTGTTAGTATCTTAATTATCATTGCTATTTATAATGAAATCTAATAGGCTCTCCCATTACAAGTCACAATTAGATTAAGGTCCACACTTAACCGTCTCAACTACATCAATTAAAATATATACATAAGCCCATAAAAATAGATCACTTAATAATATTGGGCTCATATCATTAGACCATAAATTCAATCCGTTTTTCAGAAATTAAAAATTAACTATCAATTAATGGAAGTCGAATATAGGAAAAGTTTCAATATTCTCTCACTTTGACAACATTAATTGTAGTATATATATATATAATTTTTGAAAAATGGCTCTTGAGCTAATAAAAAAAAACTCAATGTGCCCACAATAAAAAATAATATGGTCCTGAGACAATATCTTAAACACAACTCGGTCCAATAAAATTACTATTTTCGAACCATGGCGGTCTTTACATCTTTTATTGACATAGGACCAATCCATGATTATAAAAAATAATAATTCTATTGACTTGGATCAACATGTGGTAGTGTAGTAAGAAAATAACATCTCAATATGTAATCTGATAAACATGTTATTTTCATTGTTAGTCCTCCAAATAATTTCTCTGTAACAACGTGCTTCAACAATAAGCTAGAGAAATTCATTGGCTTGAACAATAAGCTAGTATGTCTCCAAACTTAAAATCACAAGATTTTCTCAAATGGTGTAATCAGAGACATACTCAATTGACAAACACAGTCATACTTAAGATATACATCAAATCTTAAGATTTTGTATAAATTGACATGTCATAAATGTGTACACATATAACATAGCAAGAATATCATACTAACAATAAGGATAATCATCAAATATTTATTATTTATCAAATAGATGTATCTCAACTATAATGAGTATCAAATATCACATATGAAATTAAATCAATACTAAAGTTCTTAACACATAAAAAACTCCCCCTAGCCAAGTACGTCAAACCTCAAAATGCTCATGTTGTCAACATGTTTCTTAAAAGTTATATGTATCAGTCCCTTGGTCAAAGGATCAACAAACATTCAGTCTGTATCAATATGTTCAATCACAATGTCACATTTTTTCACAAGATCCCTAATAAAAAAATATTTAATTTTTATACGTTTAGACCTACTATAATGTTTGTTGTTTTTTAAAAAGAACACAGTTGCATTATTATCATAATAAATTATTAGTGATCTAGAGATGAAATCAACAATCATAAGTCTTGAAATAAAATTCTTTAGCCATATAGCTTGTGTTGTAACTCCATAACAAACTACAAATTTAGCTTGCATAGTGGAAGAAGCTGTGAAAGTTTGTTTAACACTCTTTTATGATATTGCTCCTCCAACTAACATGAAAATATATTCTGAAGTGGATTTTAATCATCTTGACACCTAGCCAAATCTGAATTTGAGTAGTCAATCTTCTCAAGACTATCAACTCTTCTATAAACAAACATATAATTATTTATTCTTTGCAAGTATCTTATAACTTTTTTAGCTGCCACCAAATGATCTAATCTTGGTTTGAAAATATATCTGCCAAGAACACTAACTGCAAAAGCAATGTTAGGCCTGATACAGACCTGTGCATACATTAAACTGCCAACAACACTCACATAAGGTATATTCTTTATAAACTTCTCCTAAAGATCATTCTTGGGGCATTGACTTACACTGAATTTATCACCTTTCATAACAAGTACATCCTCAAACTTACAATTATGTATATTAAATCTTTGTACAGGATCTATATATGACATTTGAGAAAATCCCAACAATCTATGATTCCTATTCTGATGAATCTGAATGTCTAACACAAAATATGCTTCCCTAAGAACTTTTATGTCAAATATTTTGCACAATAATTATTTAATCTCATGAAATAAACTCAAATCATTATTTGTAAGAAAAATATCATCAACATAAAAAATAAGAAAAATAAATTTGCTCTTACTTATCTTAAGATATATGCATTGACTCATCTTGTTCTTAACAAAACCAAGAAAACTTAATATTTCATCAAATTTTAAGTACCGCTGACGAGAAGCCTGTTTGAGATCATAGATAGAATTCTTCAACTTGTATACTAAATGTTCTTTCTCAATCTCCTTAAAACCTTCAAATTGCATCGTATAAACTTCTTCACTAAGCTCACCATTTAAAAAAGTTGTCTCATATCCATCTGGTGAAGTTTTAGATCAAAATGAGCCACTAATGCCATAATGGTCCTGAAAAAATCTTTAGTAGAGACAGGTGAGAAAGTTTCATTAAAATCTTATTTTCTCTCTGGCTATACCTTTTTGCTACTAATCTAACCTTAAAATTTTCAATCTTACCTTTGGAGTCCATCTTAGTTTTTAACAACCATTTGCAACCAATGA